TGGCTGAAAGAAGGGCTGGACCGGTAGCTAAATGTCCCAAGATGCCAATGTTTCAGGTGTGATAGGAAGGGAGGTAAAAGGGATAGGGGAGTTGCATTACTGGTAATGGAGTATCACACAGCTGTACTTAGGTTGGATACATCAGAGGACTCATCAGTGAGGCAATATGGGTAGAGCTTAGGAATGCAAAAGGTGAAATCACAATGTTAGGGGTATACTACAGGCCTCCCAACAGTCAGTGGGAGATAGAGGAGAGAATATGTAGACAGATTTTGGAAAGATGTAAGAACAGCAGGGTTGTTGTGGTGGATGATTTTAACTTCCCCTATATTGACTGGGACTCACTTCATGCTAGGAGCTTGGATGGGCCAGAATTTGTAAGGATCATTCAGGAGGGTTTCTTGACACAATATGGAAACAGTCCAACCAGGCCAGAGGTTATATTGGACCTGCTTTTGGGAAATGAGCCTGGCCAGGTGAGATAGGTTTCAGTGGGGGAGCATTTTGAGAGTAGTGACCATAATACTGTGAGTTTTAAGATACTCGTGGATAGGGATAACAGCAGTCCTCAGGTGAAGGTGCTAAATTGGAGGAAGGTGAACTACAACAATATTAGGTAGGAACTGGAGAACATTGTTTGGAGGTGGCTATTTGAGGGCAAATCTACATCGGACATGTGGGAGTATTTCAAACAGTAGTTGAAAGGAGTTCAGGAGTGGCACGAGAATGAAGGATAACTATGTGAACCTTGAATGACCAGGGATGTATGACCTTGGTCAAAAGGAAAAAGGAAGCATATGGACGGCCTAGGAGGATGGGAACTGATGAAGTCCTGAAAGTATATAAGGAAAGTAGGAAAGAACTTAAGGAATTAGAAGGGCTAAAAGGGAGGTCATGAAAAATCATTAGTAAATAAGATTAAGGAGAATCTCAAAGCTTTTTATACATTTATAAAAAGCAAGAGGGTAGCAGGAAAAGGGATAGCCCACTCAAGGACAAAGGAGGGAATCTATGTGTGGGGCCAGAAGACATAGGTGAGGTCCTAAATGAATACTCTGTGTCGGTATTCACCAAAGAGTAGGAATTGATGGAGGATGATCTCAGGGAAGGGAGTTTCGAGTTTCTAAGCCAAATTGCTATTTAAAAGGAAGAGGTGTTCTGCATCTTAAAGAGTATTAGGTTAGATAAGTTCCCAGGTCCTGATGGGATCTATCCCAAGATATTGAGGGAGGCAAGAGAAAAAAAATGCTGGAGCATGACAGGCATTCTTGTATCCTCTTTGGCCACAAGTGTGGTCCCAGAGGGTTGGAGATTAGTCAATATTGTCCCATTGTTTAAGAAGAGTAATAGGGATAATCCTGGAAATTACAGACCTGTGAGTCTTATGTCGATGGTAGGGAAATTATTGGAAAAGATTCTCAGGGACAAGACCTATATGCATTTAGAAACAAATGGACTTATTAGAGATAACAGCATGGTTTTGTGTGGGGGAGGTCATGCCTCACTAACTTGATAAAGTTTTTGAGGAGGTGATGAAGATTATTGATGAGGAAAAAGTGAGACTGATGTTGTCTACATAGACTTAAGTAAACCCTTTGACAAGGTTCCTCATGGCAGACTGGTACAAAAGGTGAAGTCACATGGTATCGGGGGGAGCTGGCAAGATGGATACAGAACTAGCTTAGTCAAGGAGACACAGGGTGGCTGTGGAAGGACGCTTTTTGGAATGGAGGGTTGAGACTAGTGGTGTTCCACAGAGATCAGTGCTGGGACCTCTGCTGTTTGTGATCTACACAAATGATTTGGAGGAAAACATAGCTGGTCTAATTAGTACATTTGCTGACAATGCAAAGATTGGTGGAGTTGCGGATAGTGAGGAGGATTGTCAGAGAATACAGCAAGATATAGATCACTTGGAGGAATGGGCAGAAAAATGGCAGACGGAGTTTAATCTGGGCAAATGTGAGGTGATGCATTTTGGAAGGTCAGTACAGGTAGAAATTATACAGTGAATGGCAGAACGCTTAGAAGTATTGAAATGCAGTGGGAAATGGGTGTAAAGGTCCACAGATCACTGAAGGTGGCAGCACAGGTCGATAGGTTAGTAAAAAAGTCTTATGGCCTGATTGCCTTCATTGGAAGTGGCATTGAATATCAGGTTAGACAAGTTATGCTGCAGCTTTACAGAACTTTAGTTAGGCTGCGTTTGGAATATTCCATACAGTTCTGGTCACCACACTATCAGAAGGATGTGGATGCTTTGGGGAGGATACAGAAAAGGTTTACCAGGATGTTGCTTGGTATAGGGGCTTTTAGCTATGAAGAAAGGTTGGATATACTGAGTTTGTTTTCACTGTAATGCAGAAGGTTAAAGGGCAACCTGATAGAAGTTTAAGAGATTGTGAATGGCATGGATAGAGTGGAAAGTATGAGGCTTTTTCCCAAGGTGGAGGGGTTAATTACTAGGAAACACAGTTTCAAGGTGCGAGGGGGAAAATTTGAAAGAGGTGTTCGAAGCAAGTTTTTGACACAAAAGGTGGCGTGTGCCTGGAACACATTGCCAGAGGAGGTGGTGGAAGCAGACACAACAGCAGCATTTAAGAAGTACTTGGATGAATACATGAATAGGAAATGAATAGAGTGATATAGATCCTGTAAGTGAAGAGTTTTGCTATGGAAGGGCAAACTGTGTTGACACAGTCTTAGAGGACTGAAGGGCCTGTTCCTGTGCTGTACTGTTCTTTGTTCCTTGTAGAATAACCCTTGTGCAATACATGCCACATCAGATCCTCCAATTATAATTGGAGTTAGTGCCCTTCACCTGTGTCCCAGTGCAATGCTTCCAGTCTACACACTGAAATTCCCAGTTTCTCTGACACAACACGTACTACCCTCTTACAACTCTCCTTTATGTTTACTGCCCGATTCTTCAGGATTGACTGTGGTCCAGTCCTCAGACTGACTTGAGAGGCCAGCCCCGCCTCAGCATGGCCCAGCTCCTGATCGATGCCTCCTTGACTGACTAACATGTGATCCCTGGACTGTTTGAACCTGACATGCAGGACTGATCCTGGACTGGAATAACACACATCCCCAGACCCTGATTGCAACAAGTGTCTGGCTGACTGTGGCTAACTCCCTGGACTGAGATTGGATGATGCTGTAAACCTAGTGTGGTTCACCCTTTGACTGATCATAGTTACCCTTCAATAAGAACCTTCCCCCCATTCCCACCTTGACCTTTAAGCATGGCCATTTTGTTGAAGCACATACATAAGGTACTAACACAAATGGCATGTCTGACATTGACGTGACAGTGCTGTGCAGCAAGATGTTTACCCCCATGACTATTCGGTGCTGGAAGTCATGACAAGCTGCTTGGCTATTTGTATGGTCTCGCAAGGCAGAAATACTGTGAGGCTGTGAGTTTTGAATGAAGTGGCAGTTTGCTAAAAGGCAAGGCAAGCTGTGAGCATCCAAGCAAATGCAATATGAGTGAGTGCTAAGAAAGCAAGCTAACAGTCCTTAGATGCATCCTGTGCAGATACGTGAGATTGGCGTGACCCTGCGCACTGAGTGACCTGGCAGGAGCATTGCAACATAAGGTTTCAGACCGCTTCAAAGTGTTGTATTGAAGTGCTATGTTGTCTTCTGAGTTCGTCCAAGGTTGGCCATGGTGATGTGATGAGTCTGGCGTGTTGACGAAGCCAATTTCTGGAGATGAAGATTCAAAGCTGTCACTGCCCAGTCAGTGTGCTATGTAATGTTAGTGAATAGGCGATAACACAGAGTACCAGAGAAGCAAGCAATGAGCTGCATGTAACTGTTCTAACCCTGAAGTCGAGAATTGATGCCATATGGTTTCTCACCAGTGCCTGGAAGAATTAAACATTACACAGAAATGTGGTGAGATTAGCTAGTGATGAGATGCAAATGTGTGGAAATCATATTCTTTCTGCTTACTGGTGATTACCATCTATTCATTGAAACTTTAAGGAGAAAATCAGACCTTTCATTTTTTGATATCAAGATACAAGTTTTTTATTCTCACTGCATTCTCCCAAATTTCTCACCATTGATCATACTATTTCAAAGGTTAGGGAAATTCTGTCCAAAGTTTTCTTTCTTTAGCTTTTCTCTAGCCAAGTTTTGTTACCTGAGCACTCCCTCTCTGGAGTTCAAGTTTTTCAATGACATTTCCCTTTCCATTGCTCCTTTCTTGTCTTTCTTCCATTTTGTCAGTTTAAGCTTTCTTATTTCCATTTCTCTTTCATTTTCCTTTTTAGTCTCTACTCTTTTTCACATTTCTGTTCTTCTCTTTTCCTTCAATTCAAGATTTTTAATTTTTCTTTCTTTTACCTCCAATTCAGGTTCTTTCATTTGCAACTGAATCTGATGTTAATTCTGGGCAAGTGAGATCCTAGATTAAACATGGCTTGTTAGACTCTTACCTTGATTTTATCTAGCCATGAGGTCTGTTACTTAGCTCATTCACAAGAGTCTACTAGTGTATTTTTAACACATCAAATAAAACATTGAACATGAAAAACATGAACTATGTTATACCAGACAGAAGTGCTGGAAAGATTTCATTACAGACAAAACAGCAGGATTAAGCTCAACTACAACTTTTTGTCTCTTGCAATATCTTTACAAATACCAAACTTAGAGAAGAATTACCACTATCTCCACACTCCTCCATTGATGCTTCTTTCTCAGGAAGATGCAACAGCAATTGGTTTCCTTTTAGTAACTTTCTGGGCATTCACTAGATGCATTGTTTCTTCATCTGATTTCCCTTCCTAAGACACCTGTTCTCATTACCATTTTAACTTCAGAGCAAACACACAAATTCCCTGAGAGATAGCAAGAGGAGTTCTGACCCGAAACGTCAACTTTCCTGCTCCTCTGATGCTGCCTGGCCTGCTGTGTTCCTCCAGCTCCACACTGTGTTATATCTAACACTAATGTCCTTTAGGGAAGGAAACTGCCATCCTTACCTTGTCTGGCCTACATGTGACTCCAGACCCACAGCAATATGGTTGACTCTTAACTGCCCTCTGGGTAATTAGGGATGGGCAATAAATACTGCCTAGCCAGTGACACCCTTATCCCAGGAACGAATAAAATTCCCTGAACTCAGTTTCCAGCAGTTTTGCAGGACTTTTGACTGGAAAGTCTAACACTCTTTTGCATGCCCACACACTGATTGGCCAATTTTCTCCAGGCTTTTCCCTCCACCTTTTTAAAGTGCACTGAATTACCATCCCTCATCTCATAATATTAGATCAGAAATTACTGTTAAAAATAATGGTGAGCCTAATGATGCTACTCCATATGATGCATGTATCAGGCAGAAATTTCAGGTGAGCATACAGGGGCATTAAAACAAAAATATGTTCATATTTGAAATGTATCATGGTGCATAGACTATATGGACATGATTTGCTGGTTAAGTATATTGAATGAAATTATGTTCTTGTACTTGCATGATAGTGTTTGATTAGAAGGGAAGTTGGGGTCACTTCAGCTCAGTTGGTTGGATGTTTGGTTTGAAACGTCAAAAAGTGACAGCTGATTAGAATGTTGCACACAGAGCAGTGCCACGGGAGGTCAGCTCACAAGAACAGTTCGTTCTTTGTGCAATGCCACGGGTGGACAAACCAACGTCCACAATACGTTCCTTATGCAATTCAACGCGCAGTCTGCCGCTATTAATGATACGTCTGTTGTGCAATGCCACGGGTGGTCTGCAGCTGTGAATAATATGTTCACCTTTTTAAAGTGCACTGAATTACCATCCCTCATCTAAACGCTAAAATTATGGTACTGATGCAACGCCGCTGGCGGTCCGCTTATACGCATTGTACGTTCTTGCGCAATGCCACCGGAGCTGTGCTGATATTAATAATACGTTCCTGGTGCAATGCCACGGACGATCTGCTAATGTTAATGATATGTTCTAGTGCAATGCCCACAGGCAGCCGTCGTCGACTGCCAACACCAGGCCGTGCCTCTACAGTGGGGGCTATATTTAGATTTGGGTGCAGAGCCGCATTACACACCCGCGCCCCCTACTTCCTTATTCCATATCACGTGGAGGTTGTTGTCATCAATGGCTGGCCTGTACCAAAGACGATCCCCGCCTAATCCTTCATAATCACTAAAGAGGGATTTGCGTCTCGGGCGTGCATTGAAGTGGCATTTCGGAACTTCTCAATGCCGCGGAGCCGTGACCACGTCGAGAGTGCTGGAGCTTTCTCTGATCGAATGAAAAGTCTGCGAGTTGGGCGGCGCACTCGATCGCCGTGACTTTTATTAGTCAGTTCCCTCGTGTCTCCCGCTCCTCAGGCGCAGTGGGCGGGCCTTCTCGGGTCGTGACATCATGGAGGCTGGCGGCGACGCGCTGGTGGTGATAAGCATTGTGGGTAGAGCGGTGTGCGCAGGCGTGTTGCTGACGGCGGCCCTGTACCTGCTGCGCGCTCTGTGTCAGAGGATGGCCTGGAAGTGCGGCGGAGACAGCCAAGCGGAGCTCGTCAACAACCTGCGGAGTGAGTGCCGGGTTTGGGAAAGGGGGGGGCGTTACCATACTATGCAGTGTGTCCGATGGATAAAGTCTGCTCCAGCTCAGGGGGCGGGTCCAGGTTCCCTCTGGGGGGGGGGTGGGGGCGGGGGGCCGGAGGCCGGAGGCTGGAAGGGTGGGGGTAGGGCGAGGATCCCTGCCGTTGCCCGGGGAGACAAGCAGGAGGTGGCAGCAGTTCCCACCCTGCTGCCGTCTCTCTCACGTACACTGACCCGGCGGTGCCGCTCTGCCGGCCAGAGGGTTAGATCAATTGGTATTTTTTTTAAAAAATTGCTGATCATTGCAGTGCGGCCCGGCGGCCAAATGTCAACAGCGGATTTCACAGAGTGATCAGAAACGTCCCTGCGGGAAACGGGGCTGGCTCAGTTTCCCTGCCCGTACGCCGTCTCCAAGGCCGAAGTAGACAATTTTCATCCGTTATGGGCGAACAGGTGGGAATGCAAAACAAGGAATTGCAGAAACTGGCAATCCGAAACGAAAACAGAACGTGTTGTGTAAATTCAGCAGGGCTGGTAGCATTTGTGCAGAGAAAAACAGTTTAGTCCAGTGACGCCTTTGTCGTACAGTTGATGCCTGAAATCAGGCCAGCTGTGACCTTACAGACTGTTATAACAGGATGCAGGGACCGTATGGTCTACTCCTATTTTATGCTTATGACCCACCACTTCTGGTGTGCCTGAATAACAACCTAGTAATCTGCCTGGTGTAATTCCCCTGTCCTTTTCCTAGCCCTGCAATTTTACCTTTTCAGGGATTAATCCAGTTGATGATTTAGTAAGCAAGCTTTTATGTCAAGTTTTTGAACAAACTTAATCTCAAATGTTTAATCGAGTGCATAATCTTGGCTGTCATTTTCAGTGCAGTGTTGAGAGGATGCTGTTATTTGAGGCTTCAACTTTGCACTCTCTGCTCATGCCCCAAATAATAGAAAGGTCCCCTGATGCGATGGTCATCACTGTCACCAGTATTGGGGTTAGTTAGCTCAGCTGGCCGGATGGCTGACTTGTGATGCAAAGTGATGTGAACATTGTGGGTTTGGTTCCCACGCTGGCTGAGGTTACTGTGAAGGACTGTTTTTCTTGAAATCTCCCCTCACCTGAGGCATGGTGACCCTGGGGTTAAACCATCACAAGTTGTCTCTCTCAAACGAGACAGTAACCTATCGTCTGGTAGGCCTGTGACACCGACACCTTCACCTTTGCCAGTATACCTGCTGGTTAGTGATCGCTTCATTGAAGCTACCTGGAGCTTCTGATGGGAAAATCAGGATTAGATTCATAAGATCCCTTTCATATCTTCTGCATGTCTGAAAGCCAATTAATTGCTTTCGAGGAACAGTTTCTGTTCTTAACACAGAAACAGCTGAGTGACAGTTCTATTGTCATTCTGGATTTATGTAGCGATTATATGATGCTTGATTTCCTGGAAGTGACTATATTGAAAATACCAATTGGTGCCTTTTTTAGGTAGACTTGCTTTGAAAGTATTTGCAGACCATCAAAACTGCAATGTGAAAAAGTAGATTGCTTGAAAGACATGTTGCTTAAGTGCCCAATCCACAAAGTAGTGAAGCATAGGCAGGGAAGTGAGTGAATGAACGATAACTGAAGAGGATATTCAGAATGGAGGAGAGTGGAAAAAATTTTTGGCCCCTAAAATTGTTTGGGTAGTTAATGTTGGTATATTGTTCTGAATACTTGTAAGATGGTCATACAATGCTAACACGGGTGACGAGATCGTGCAATTCCAGTAAGTACCACTTTTTTGCACCTGCCACCATTTGAACAGTATGTAGCCTTCTCTATAATCATTGGCTCATCCTAGGAGTTAGGGGTGGAAGTATAATGTGGGAGAGCCAATACAGCATAATATGTTTAAATGTGACTTGAAAAAAGTTGAGGCATTTATAAAGCCCCTTTCTCAATTTCTGGAATTTCTGAAGTATTTTAAAGCAAACATGTAGAAATCCCAATAACTGACTTTGTATGGCTATCTCCTATGATCAGCAGTGTAATAATGACTGAATAATCTATTTGTGGCTTTTAATTCTGAATAAATGTTATCTTGGAACCCAGGGAGGGCTCCTGTGGTCTATTAAATATAGTGCAGTGAGATAAATCTCTTGAGCTCATCAGGGGGCGTGTTATGGCCTCAATTTAATATCCCCATCCAATAGACTACATCTCCAGTTCAGCACTCCCTCAACACTGCACTGAATTGTCAGCCAAGAATTTGGGCTCAGTTCCATAGTGTGGGATTTGAACCTCTAACTGAGGTTCACGAGCATGGTTGGGAGTATTTAACTAAGTTGGCAGGCATGCACACTAGCATATAGAAGTTCAGAAAAAAAAAACAATAAGATGAGTAACTTTCTACAGAAGGAAGTAGCACTAAATAGATAAACGTGAAATAAGTTAAAGTAAAGCTATCCAGCCTAATCTCAATTTTCAGCCCTTGATTCATGACTTTGTAGATTCCAGCATTTCAATTGCCTATCCAAGTGTTAAGTACTGCCATTTCAGGCAAACAGTTCCAGACCCCCATCAGCCTCTGGGTAAAAAGGTTTCTTCTGTCCCAGGAAAATCTGTCTCTCCGAGTATCCTATTCACAGTATAGGCCACTACTAATTTAATACACCTTAGTTAAATCTCCCTTGACTGCCTATATTCCAAAGAAAGCAACCCTAGCTTATCCAGTCCTTCCTTACTGCTAAAATTTTCTGGTCCTGGCAAAATCCTTGTAAATCTGCTCACTCCCTCTCAAGTGTAATTATATATTTTCCTGAATGCAGTGACCAGAACTGTTTGCAATTCTATATCTAACTAGTGTTTTGTATACTTCTGGAAAGAAATCTCCAAAGCCATCTGTCACCAATTGCAGCAAGACCCGGATGACATTGAGAGGTTTGGGCTTTTTAGTGGCAAGCAACTGTGCTGCACGTGTCAGGGAATGGACGTTTTCAAGAAGAGTGGATTTGACTATCTCCCCTTGACGTTCAACACCATTGCTGAATCCACCAAAAGTGTCTTGGAAGTTATCATTGATAACAAGCTTGATGGGGCCAGCCAAATGAGTAGTATGTTTACAAGAGCAGTTCAGAAGCTGAATCCTACAACCAGTATAATTCTCAAGGGCCCCTTCACCATCTGCAAAGCATGAGTTAGGAACGTAAAGGAATACTTGCCACTTGCCCAGATGGGTTCAGCTCTGACAACCCTCCAAAACTTCAACACCGTCGAAGTCAATGCAGCTGCTTGATAGGGTACCCCATCCACTTTTCAGATTCATTCCTTCTGCTGGTGCACAGTGGCAGGATTGTGTGTCATCTCCTTATTTGACTAATGTTCCTGTCTGGTGCTATTGCACACTTTTTACTATATTAAAGGAGCTTTAGAAATGTAAATTCTGATATAGATCAGTATGCTTTCAAAAGCTTAATTCCCAGCTTACTGCTCCAAAAGTAGCATTTTAAACTCATTAAAATGAGGTTTCCAAAAGATTTCACTGAATTTAGTTCCCTCCAATGAAGAAATCTTAAGTAGAATGAACCCACCATCACTGGTTAAGTTGACAGTTCATCTCATTTATCTCATGTTTTATCAGAATTGACTTTGGACCGAAAGAACTCTTCCAACTTTGAGAGAACCTAAGCCTCTTTTTGCCCTTTGACTTAAAGAAGAATACCAGACTTCAATTCCCTTTCTTTTGCACACACTGACACTATTCTTTTTCATTTTCAGTCCTCCATGCTAATCTTTTCTCTTCTATACAAAGATCTGCAAGTGATCTTGGTTACCCAGAGCACCTTCCCCAGTGGTCCCAATCTGATTGCTGCCTTCAGTAATTTCAAATGCCAGCTGATTCTGTATATTCTGTATAAACTATATGGTGCTCTGACCCAATTCTTTTTCTCACTGTTTCCACACTTCTGAAACATGACTTTGGATATTTGCATGTCATTGTTTCCACACCAGAACTCAGCCTCTAGAAATTGCCTTCATCCTAGTTTTAACACACTTGAACATCCTTGTTGCAACGGTGGCTCGGTGGTTAGCGCTACTGCCTCACAGCACCAGGGGCCAAGGTTTGATTCCACCTCGGGTGACTGTTTATGTGGAGTTTGCATATTCTCCGTGTCTGCATGAGTTTCCTCCCACAGTTCAAAGATGTGCAGGTTAGGTGGATTGGCCATGGGAGATGCAGGGTTACAGGGATAGAGTGGGATGGGTGGTGGTGGTGGTGGTGGGCCTGGGTGGGATGTTCTTCAGAGGGCTCAATAAGCTGAATGGCCTGCTTCCACATTGTAGGAATTCTACGATTTAAGCTTCTAATAATTCTAATGATTCTAAATTTGCAAAATGTCTTGGCTGTCACTGTTACACTAGCCTGCGTCATTTCTGCATTCTTTTGTAGCTCTTTTCCAGGTTGTTGGAACAACAACACCTTTTCCATTCCCCAGGTGTTGCTGTGCATTTAAAATGCAATATCCTGTTATATCCTTGGCTAGTTTAGGTAAATTGGGTGTATAGCTAACTCAGCAGATTATTGTGACTTACAAGTTGCCTTTTTGTTCATTCATTCATGGGATGTGGGCATCACTGTTTAGGTTAGTATTTATTATTCATCACTAGTTTGCTTGGAGAAGATGGTGCTACGCTGCTGCCTTTGACCGCTGCAGTACCACTTGTGTAGACCCACAATGTGGTAAGGAAGGAGTTCTAGGATTTTCACCTGGTGGTAGTCAAGGACTGACGATTACGTTTTCAAGTGTTAGCATGTCAAAGCATAAAAGGTCAATATTCCTAAAATTTCTCTATAATGGAGTGTCTGGATACTTGTACTACATGGTCAATGGACGCAAATGATATATTCTGATATACTACTGGCAGTGCCGTGGGAAAACCTTTCAATAGGCATGTTTTATGGATTACACTTCAGGAATACAGCTCGATGCTTGTTTGGCCCTGATGGTATTAATGTGCATGTGCTACTTCTTGTAATGGAGGAAGCGGATAATTGTATATGCAAGCGTAATTTTGTTTCTATTTTAAAGTTGCTCATCTGTCCTTATTTTTATCCTGTTTAAATTCCTACGGCTAAATTTGTAATGGAAACTGCCCCAGTAAATTTTATGCTGTTTTAATTACAACCTCTGGCTGATGAGGCAGCTGGTGCATTCCAGTAGAGGATGTCATATTTAATTTATAATTTGACACATTTTTCATTTTGAACACTGAACTGAAAATTTACAGTGGGAGCAGCTGGTGGATTGAATGTTTAATATATCCACATTTGTAAAGAATAACAACTGAACAAGTTTTTAGAGCATGCATTTCATATATAAGGGACACTTTTAGAGATCATAAAACCACTTCGCATTGTGTTGACACAAAATATCAAGAGAAGACTGAAGCTAAAGAAAGTATTGAATAACTTGAACTTTTTGCTGTATGTTTGAGAATTGAGTCTAGAATTCATGAAATAACAGCCATCATTTCATCTGAGGAAGCTGTACACAGTACCAGGCTACAGTTCTTAACACATATACCTATATTCTTCAGTGATGCATTTATTTAATGAACTGTGTTTGGACATTCTTTGATTCGGGCAGATCCTTGCTGTTTCAGGGAGAGCTAAAGACCAGAAATATTCTTGTGGATGCTGCTCATAAAATATTTTTAATGAAACTAATAAAACAAACAACCTTTTTGTAGGAATTGGATATTATTAGGGATTTGGTTAACAAATATAGCATATGCAATAACTTAAAATGCCTTCTGTAATATGATGGCTTGGGTTTTTATAATGACCACCTCTGGAAGGTTTATGAACTTAATTTAGGAGGTCATGAACAAAAATCCTGTCTTTGGACATGTCAGATATCTGGTAAAAGTTCAAACATTGCTAACTTGTGTTTTTTTTTTTTTGTTTCATATTTCTTGGTCAGCTTACATTTCTTGGTCTTCACTGCAAAAGTACCGTAGGCAAGGTTCAACCAGTACAATTTAGCTGTTTTCCCAACTCATCTTGTCTTTTAATTGTTTTATTCCTTTCACTGTTATGTACCTTAATGAGAAACATTTCTGCTGTGTGTGCCAGGGAATGATAATCTCCAATAATAGATTTTCTGCACCTCCACAGCATTGAAGGGATTATCTTCACTGAAATTCCAACTAACTAATGACCAGAAGTCTTATTGGACAATAGCAGATCATACCTTGCCTTTTGATTCCCGAAGGAATGATGTCCTCTTGCTTGCTCCAACAACATTTCAAGCCTTGACACCATCCAAGATAAAGCCTTCTGCTTATTTGGCATCTTCACCACTTTAGGTGTTGATCTCCACCACTACATAGTGTCAGCAATGTATGCCATCTACAAGATGGAAGACAACAGCTTATCAAAGTTGTATTTTTTTTTCCCCCAAATCTGTGATCGCTACCACTTAGTAGGTCAAAAGCATCGGGTGTCTAGGAACACTGTCGTACAATTGCCCTCCATGTCTCAACCTGTTTTGGATTAAGAAGGTGTAAGCTATTTGTGTTCAGAGACAATATTTAACATTCTTTGAATTTACCATGATGTGGGTCTCAATGTCCCGGAAAGTTGTAGGTGTCAGGTTGTAAATGATCCACTCCTTTCTAAGATGAAAGGGAGTCGGGTCGAGGCTAGCTGATTAGCCTTAAGTAGAAATATTAATGTTTCCTTTTGCCGTAGGGAAGAGGAACCAGTTTTGAAAGAAGGTTATATGCTTTCCTACAAATTCATATATACTAGACTTGAAAGTTCTGTATGGCCAAAAAGGATAAAAGGCTGATTTTTGTGAGCTATCACAGTTGGATGAGGAACTGATCTAGTCTGTTGTCAAATAGACACCTGCCAAGAGATTTGTTCTGGTGTGGTCAGGTTGAAGAATTTAAGGTTCTTGCGAAGATTTGTAGCTTGGGTTGTGGATGAGGTTGTTGGCTTGCTCACCAAGCTGGCTGGTTATTGTACAGATTACTATGCTCGGTAACTTCATCAGTGTGGCCTCTGATGAAGTGATGTTGTTCTACTCCGCTTACTACTTAAGACCAGTCTGTTGTTGAGTTGTCGTTTCCGGTTCTGTTCTGCATGGGTTTGTATATGGGGTCTAATTCTACATGCTTGTTGATTCGCATTATGGGTTGAAAACCAGGCCTGTAGGAATTCCCGTGCGTGTCTGTGGTTGGCTTAAGCTAGGATGGTCACGTTGACCCAGTTAAATTGATGGCCTTCTTTGTCCAAGTGTGCTGAGATGAGGGAAAATTCGTTGTCGTTTTGCTGCTAGCTGGTGTTTGTGTATCCTGATGGCTAGTTTCCTTCTAGTCTGGTCGATTTTGTAATATTTGCAGTCATTGCAAGGTATTTTGTAAACTACATCAGTCCTGTATGTCATGGGTATGGGGTCTTCGGTCCTTGAGTGTTTGTCGTAGTGTGGCTATGGGTTTGTGTGCTACCATTGTTGAAGAATTATTGTAATGGGCTTTGCTGGTCATGGATTTTAAGAAAAAAAAATCATCTGTAAGTGACTGCTAGCAGTTACCACTTGGCAAAACAAGAATACAAGAACCAATTGGAAGCTAAGAGCAGCTGTTGTTTGTTTGGTATAGGAATAATTCCTTGAGGAGTGAGAGGCATGATAATAAGCAGGCGATGTTTCTTTCTGTATCAGTAAAGTCGGAACTTGAAGTCTCGGAAAAGAAAGAGCTCTTGTATGAGGAAAGATGTGTGTCTACCCAATCAGCTATTGCATACAAGATCGACTAACAATCTGCCACAACATTGTGTCACCATTGCCTAAAATGTAAAGAATACTGAGCAACAACGCATCCCACCTTTGCAATCTGGATTCTTCATTGAATTACAGATTGCTTTCATAATATATCTGAACTTCTGTTTCTACTTAACTCTGCATGTTTTAAACAGACATGAGTTGTTTGGTTGTAATGAGTAATCCATTTCTGTTTGCCATTTGCTAAAGAATAAGTTTGTTTACAATAAATTTATTTTCCTGTGAATGAAGAAGCCCGTTATAAATTACACCAGTCTTAAACAGTCAGGGAAATTGATCATTTTGCTGACATAATTGGTTTGTCACACATTTGCGATGGCTTGTGGAATAATGAGTCTCAAATGTTGGTGCAGTCTTCCCGATTGAGTCATGACAGGTTGAAGTATATATCTGGGGCCCTTGTGGCACAGTGGTAATGTCCCTGCCTCTGAGTCCACATATCCTGATTCAAATCTCAGCTGCTGCCAAGATGTCTTAATGTGTCTGAAATGTTTGTTTAAATTAACCTGTTAAAGTATGCTTCCTAATGTCACCATTCGTAATAATATTTGCAATTCCAAACGGGGAAGTTGATGAGTACTCTTGTTTTCATTTTTTACAGAGAATGGAATAGTCAAGACTGAGAAAGTTTATCATGTAATGTTGGCCACAGACCGTTGCCACTATGTAAAGAGTAATCCTTATACAGATTCCCCTCAGTCTATAGGTAAGCATTTCCAAAGCACTTGCTTCTCCTTTCAGCAACCAACCTGACAATCCCCGCCACCACCCCCATTACCAAATGCACATTTGACTCTGCCTTAATCTGAGTATTTCCAATGCAATGGGCTTCGAATGTTGCAAGGTATTATTGCTGGCCTATTTGAATTATTAACCTCTTGTCTTGCATTCTAGAAAGTAGCTTGGGCTGCACTTAAAATTATAACTATTGAAGTTATAAATTTAAAATGAAATCATATTTTCTTACTTTTGTAAGATTTCCAAAACACCAATATATCTGCATCGTAACATGTTAAATAGAATACAATTTTCAAAAAATACTTGTATAATCACCTTACCCTATTTACCCAAAAATGATAATTCTTAACTCAGTCCATAATAACTTCAAGTTCCCCCTGATTTTTGTGAAAATTTTATGGTGCACCTTATCCTAAGTGATGACTTCCATTTTAAGTAGTCTGTTTGGAATGATGCCTATCGGTAGGAAGTACCTCGTGGCAAAAACCACAAACAAGTTTTGCAAATCATGATGTTAAGTGCATGTTGCCTCTCCCTTCAGTACAGCCAAATTGCACATTCCTCCTTTTAATTCTTTTTTATTTCTGTTTATGACTGAAAACACAGGCTTGTGATCATGTTAAGCTGGGTGTGCTGAAGCTTAATCGCTTTGAGTATATCAAAATAATCGTATTTGGCCAAGTGGTGACATTTTAATAGTGTGCATTACAAGTCTAGAGACAGAGACACAGGCAATGTTCTGATGGCCTGCATTCGAATCCCACAGGACATCTGGTGGAATTTGAATTTAATAAAATCTGGTATTAAATGTCTAGTGATGACCATGAAACCATTGCTAATTGCTGGAAAAATCTATCTTGTTCACTAATATCCTTTTAGGGAAGGAAACTTGTCTATGAGTGACTCTAGACCTAGAGCAATATGGTTGACTTTTAACTGCCCTCTGAAGTCTTGGTTTTATCACATCACTAGGAAGTCTTAAAAAAAGAAATGAAACAGATGGACTACCAGAAATGACAACGGCAGACACAGCAATGTCACCCTTGCAGAGTCCTCCATTTGGGGCTCATACCAAAACTTGGACAGCCATCCAGCAAACCAGCTAAGCAACAGCCTGACAGTCATACTCACGGAAGTGTGGCATTTTACATCAGCTCTGAAGAGTCACCTAGACTCAACGTTAGCTTGCTTTCTCTCCATGGATGCTGCTTGACCTGCTATGATGTCCAGAATTTTTTTGTTTTTTCACTACCATCAATATCCCTGGATATGTCCTGTCTCACTGGTAGGACAATCCCAGCAAAGGTGGTGCACAGTGGTACGCAGTCAGGAGAGAATTGCCCTGGGAGTCCTCAGCATTGACTCTGGACCCCGTAAAGTCAGGTTTGTGTAGTCTTGATCATCAGTAAAGTAATGGAAGGTGTCATCAACAATGCTATCAAGCAGCACTTACTTAGCTCACTGTCCAGTTTGGATTCTGCCAGGGTTACTAAGCTCTTGGCCTCAGTCTAGTCTTGGTTCAAAAATAGACAAAAGAGCTGAATTCCAGAACTGAGGTGAGTGTGACTGCCCTTGCCATCAAAGTCGCATTTGACTCTGGCATTGAGGAGCCCCAGCAAAACTGGAGTCAAAGGGAATTGGGAGGGCAGGTTGGAGTCATACCTAGCATAAAGGAAGATGGTTTTGGTTGTTGGAGGTCAAACACCTCCATTCTGGAACATTTCTGCAGGACTTCCTTGAGTTATGCATTTCAGTCAGCTTGCTCAGGTAAGTTATGATGCACCTCTGGAACAGATAGGACTTGGACTTGAACCTAGATCTTCTAGCCCAGAGGAAGGGATGCTACTTGTGTGCCACGAGACCCTACTGTTCCTCTTGTAGATATTTTCTGATTTATCTGCTCAGAAATATTATTACACGTGCCTGGAGCAGATGGGTCTTGAACCCAGGCTTTGTGGCCCTGAGGAGGAACACTATCATTATGCCACAAGGGGCTCCTAGCAGTAGTGTCATGGGCCCAACCATCTTCAGCTGCTGCCTCAATGACCGCCCCTCTATCATAATGTCAAGTGGGGATATTTGCTGCTGCTTGCAATTTTCACCACCATTCACGACTCCTCAGATACTGAAGCAGTCCATGTCCAAATTTAGCAAAAACCAGACAATACCCAGGTTTGGGCTAAAGAGGGACAAAAATTATTCGTGCCTGACAAACGCCACATAATGACCATCTTCAATAAAAGAATTTATGCATTGACATTGATGTTTTTGTCATTATTTCTCTCTTTACCCCACCCTCCAAAAAAAAGCTGTCAACATGAAGGGGGTTACCATTGACCAGAAACTAATCTGGACCAGTGATCTAAACGCATTGGCTACTAAACCAGGTCAGAGGCTAGGAATCTTGCAGTGAATAAGCCACCAACTGATTTTCCCCAAAGTGTGTTCACTATCTACAAGGCATAAACCTGGATTATGATGGAATACTCCCCACATGCCTAGACGACTGCATCTCTAACAACAGTCAAGAAGCTTGACACTGTCCAGGAGAATGTTTCCTCCACCTTAACTAAGAGCCTCTCTGCTTTCTGTGTTCCCTTTTATGAAAATATTAACCTAATCCAAAGAGGACAAATCATGAAGTTGAGCTTTCTTTACAGCAATCATTGGTTATCCATTCAATTATACACAACTGCAGAAAAATACAAATGCCATTGACCCGTTGAGCATCTGATGACATTCTGGATATAATAGTCGCAAGCACTACCTGATTCCATTGCCTGTTATCATATGGGTTTGGCTTGCCAGTTTCTCCTGTTTACATTCTTCTACCCTTTACCTTCAATCGCCATTCATTCCTAGCGCTTGCTAATGTCTGCGTTCTTACTGTCTGATTTCCAGTTCTTGGCTTTTAGGCAGCAGGGCTGTCAGTGTGAGTGGCAGGCAAATCGCCCCAGATATCCCAGAATCATCCTGGAAATTAAATCAAAAGAATGTTTGAGTAATTCATCAAAGTCATACCTCCCTTCCCAAAAGTGGAGAAAAAGAACAAGACCGTCTTTCTCCCTCGTTACCTATTCCAGCTCCATCATTCAAAGATTTTGCTTCTGTTGTTCTTGCTGCTGCTCAAAAGACAATCTGTGATTTGAAGGAGCAGTAAGGGCAAGAAGGATTGAACCTCTGAGTTTGTCAGATTGCTCCAACTGTTTCCAGGTTCACTGTGCAGCAAAGTTTCAGGAGACTAGAACAGTGGCTGTTCAGAGGGAAGTGTGCTTTAGTGCCAAGACTGAGCATCAGTCAGGAAGGGGAGAGCGTGGAGAAGGGCCCGCGTGTCATTGGGAAAGATGTGCTGGGGAGCAGTGCCCCACGTGTCAGCAGGGAATGGGAGAACAGGACTCGAATGCCAGACTGGCGATGGAGGAGCTCACTAAAATAGGCTGTAACTTTTTTTTTCTGATTAAAATAAACTTTTCAAAAAATACCTTGAGTGCTTATCAATCATGCTTATTTTTGATTCACATGTGGGACATGGGCATTGCTGGCTGGCCAGCAATTATTGACCATTCTTAGTTAAAAACCGAAAGAACTGAGGATGCTGTAAATCAGGAACAAAAAACAAAGTTGCTGGAAAAGCTCAGCAGGTCTGGCAGCAACTGTGAAGGATAGAACAGAGTTAACATTTCTGGTCCGGTGACCCTTCCTCAGAACTGATGGTGGCTGGGAAAAAGTCAGTTTATATGCAGAAAATAGGGAAGTGGGTGGGGTAGGCAGTAAATGTTAGGATACAGCCCAAAGAGAGAGACACAGTTGGACAGACAAAGGAGTTGCTAACGATCAGGCTGGGAGGGTGAATAGTTGTTGATGGGGACTGCTGCCATCCTTAGTTGCCCTGGAGAAGGTGGTGGTGAGCTGCTGTCTTGAACCACAGTAGCCTGTGTTGCTGTAGGTTGACCCACAATGCCCTTAGAGGGAATTCCAGGATTTTAACCTAGTGACAGTGAAGGGAAGGTGATATATTTCCAAGCCAGGATGGTGAGTGGCTTGGAGGGGAACTTTCTGGTGGTGGTGTTCCTATGTATCTGAACATAGAACATAGAACTTTACAGCGCAGTACAGGCCCTTCGGCCCTCAATGTTGCGCCTACTTCCCTTGTCCTTCTGGGTGGAAGTGGTGGTGAGTTTGGAATGCGCTAAGGATCTTTAGTGAATTTCTATCCGCCTGTAAACATGCAAACTATTTATGCGCCTCGTGTTTCAAAGAATGTGGAGCTCAAATTTAACTTTAGTGAAGAAATCAAATTCCTTCCAAAACGTGGCTTTCCAGTGCTAGATAAGGCTACTGATCATTGTGAAGTCACAATATTCTGGTACTGCACAGGAGACTCTAAGTAAAAGCTTACCAGATGCTTCAGAGGTGCACGGTATTGAACCAGCAATGGAACTGGCTGAAGAAACCTGCAGTAACGTTAAGTAGTTCAAGAAAAATATTTCTCTGCTTAGAGAGCTTCTGTTATTCGTGGTCATTCTGCAAAAGATCAACCAATTGATTTGGGGGTGGGGGAGAGAAAAGGAGTGGATGTTGTAATCAACCCCTCTTCTACCATTGCATAATTTGTGGGAGATTTTCGTTCTCATAAAATCGTGCAGAAGGAGGCCATTCGGCCCATGTCTGCAACAGCAGCCCAAATGAGCATCCTGACTTAATTCTTTGCTCTTTCCAAAACACTTTTTATCTGTAGATTCTAAGTTGGGAATTTTAAAGTAATATACAGTCTTTGGTGCTTGTGGTGTCCTGTTGTTCTAAAAGAGAACATTGTGTTAAATCCTTTCTTAACATAAATAGAGGTAATGTTACGATATGAGTGCATCATCTAATAAAGGAGTTAGTGAGTATGAGAAAGTAGCCCTGGAGTGCCTCACTAATAGCCCTAAAAAAAAAAAAAATGTTTTGACCTTTGCCAGAGAATGCTGAGATTTGTTTCATTCATTGTACTACATTCATTTGTGTTATAATGATCCATTGTAGTTTAAAGTCTGTTTTGACAATGCTGCCGAGGATTTCATTTGTACATTGCAGCTATGCGTTTATTTACATGATTACAACACTTCATGCTTCACATTTGTAAATAAATGGAACTTGCTTTGTTTTATAGGTTTCCAAGCAACAATCAGTGCTCCACACATGGTAAGTGCAAGATATTTTCTGATTAAGTGCCACCTTCATACTCTGGTATAAATTTCAGTGAAGTTTACAACAGTATTAGTTGAGCTTATGCTCCAGACCTCATCGCAACTTTGATTTGATGTGAATGGAGCTAAATGCCAGAGAAAGTTGATGGTCTTTGTCGTTGACACTTAGGAGTGCTAGCAAAACTGGAATCAGTGGTCAAATAACAAATACTTTAATAGTTGGAGTCATACACGAAGTAAAAGGAAATGGTTTTGGATGTCAGAAGCCAATCACTTCTGCTCCAAGAAGTCACTTCAGGACTTCTTCAGAAGTGTCTTGGACCCTTCTTAAGATTGACAGGTTGTTTGCTAGTAATTTAAATGACAACACTTGTATCTTGTGACAGTTGAAATCGTGAACTAGTTGAAAGTCCAGATATTTTCCTATGACCTTCCAGAGTACAACAGCATTATTGTTAAGACCTTCTGCGTATTGGAAGGAGGAGGGAAGAGGTCACCATTGCTTAAGTTGAATTTAAGCAGCCATGTCACTATTGTATCTTCAAGAACATAAGGCGAAGTGCTTTAACAGTGCCTCCTGAACCTTGCACAATCGACAAGACTTGTCAAAATTGTGTTGGACTATTCGTTTGGATGGGTTGTTGCCACATTGGTACTCCAAGTTCAACACCATTATGATGAAGTAGTTGGTTTGGTGCTCCTGCTGTGGACTTCATATCCCTTCAATTATTGGGAAGCCTACTCAGCATGGATGATCCTCAGGATGCAGTGCAGCAATTTATAAGATTATCACCTTCCTGGAATGTGTGCTGCTGAATAACTTGCGGTTTTATTGTTTTTAACTTGGTAAATGTCTCAAGGCACTTCACAGAAAAATAATCGGGCAAATATTTGGTACTGAGCTGAGCAATGGTTATTACGGCAAGCGAGTAAATATTTGGTTAAAGCGGTAAGGTTTAAAAGTCCTGTTAAAGGGACAGAACAAGAGAACAAATTAGCAATTACCACAGCTTGGTGTCCAGACAGATGATGTGGTTGGAAAGAGGAGCTGTGATCTCGAGTTTCCAGTATTGGACTGGGGTGGACAAAGTCAGAAGTTAATGACACCAGGTTATAGCCCAACAGGTTTATTTGAAATCACAAGCTTTTGAAGAGCTGCCTCTTTTTCAGATGAAAGAGGAGCAGTATGGTTTCTTGGGATCTGTCACCTCCAAGGGCCCCTCATGTCGCCATCCTGATTTGATAATCCAGTGTTGATGCTTTCTAATGAGCTTTTGGACAATTGATATATTCTGCATTGTGTGAAATGAATGTATTGTTGAGCTTCTTTGTGATTACAAGTGAACAAAGGTCTGAGCAGACTTTAATGTTTACAACTATGCCTTTAAAGATTACTATTGGTGTGAAATTAAAAGTGCCATAGTTAGTAAATCTGATAGTGAGATAACATCTAAACTAAATATGCTAAACTACCCAGACTTTACTCTTGGGTTGTAGCAAACAGTGCAACTCTGTCCTCCTTGCTGCAAGAAGATAGTCCTCTCCTGAATTATTAGGCTTTGTAGCAATCATGCTCCTGTTCTATTACACAAGAAGTTAAGTGTTGGCCCAACAGCAGTGAAGGGATGTGAATTGTACATACAAGTACAGATAGTGAATGAGCTATAGAGAAACCTGGAGATGGTTGTGTTACTGCGATAGTACTGCTATTATTCTTATTTGTGGTACAAGTCATGGGGTTGGAAACGGTTGTGTAGTAACCTGCAATGTCTTTTCCCACTGCCTCTTGAGCAACAGCCCAAGTGGATCAATAATGAATAGCTTCAATCAAACATTTTAGGGTCATCTAATGTAAGTTGATACTGGTTCTGATGCTAACGATGCTGTTCAGCACCAGCTTAGTCCCAGATTTTGGATTCTGAAATGCAGAATATCTTTGTCTTTTAAATTGGAACAGGTTTTGTGATGCAGTTTATGTATTTTATAAAAGTCTGCCCTCTATCATTAGGTTACTTTATGGCTTATAAACCAATAGAATTGTCTAGGGTTCTTTATTGTTTGTGCCAGAGCTTGATATTGTAAAGATATGTTTTAGCAAAATTGTGTTTCATTTACCATGTATGATTCTGTGGAAGTTTATTTAGGGCAACAGGAAATTGGAGATGGACTATCCTGTTGTGACCTCTCTACAGTGGAGTCAGCAGGGAATCTAGCCCACCATCTGCTGGATAAATACAGTACTGCTGCATGTAATATGACCTGACACTGAACAAATCAGTTACCTTTTACAAGCAGAAGCTTTTTTCAAGAGAATTTTAATATGTAGGCAAGACTAAGGACTATGCAGAGGGATATCAGAAAACCACGGCCAGTTGGCTTATCATCCATCTTTAGAAACTATTAGTGAAAAAATTATAACTGGGAACTTGGTTAAGTTCAATATTATCAGGCAGATTCAACATGATTTTGTGAAAGTGAAGTCCTGCTTACCAACTATTGGACTCCTTATTTAAGGAAGGATTTAAGTTTGTTGGATGCAGTTCAGATTTTCCAAACTGATCCCTGGAAACAAGGTGTGGACATATAGGATGCTTTATCTTATGAGGCAAAGTTGGACTTGCTCGACTTGTATCTGCTGGAGTTTAGAGTAGGACGTGACTTGATTGAAAGGTGATAAAGAGTAACTGGAACTGCAGATTTGAGGGTATCATTAGATTAGCCATTGTCTCGATACGTGGGGCCAAATGGCATCCCCTTCCTGCTTGTGTGTTTAAACAGCCTCATTGCAATTACACCCCCTCAGTGGAGATGCTAGTGTCGTTACCAGTTGGAAGATACAACTACAATATGACTAGCTCATATAGTTGGTATCCATTACAAAAGGAATGTAAAGTGTAAAATTGGAACTGAATTATGTCTGAGTGCCTTTGTCCAATTATCCCATGCTACAGCTCAACGCTTGGCTTTAACTGCATTTGCAGCAAAGACAATAGAAGTGTTTCAGGTATGTGTGATCTTGTCATCCATCATGGCGCACAACTCGCAATGTAGATGTTGGAATACAGAGCAAACTTTGCCCTTGATACTGGGCTTGAAAGTAGTCAAACAGTGAGTTTGATATCAGTCGGTTGCAGTAATGGATAGACTGGCAGTATGGCGGACAATTGACAGAAAATATTGGAGAAATTTGGTTTTTGGCAGAAAGCATGTGGAGGGACAACATGTACTTAATGGTGCAGTTCTAAAGATTGCAATGACAGAGGGACCTTGAGTTTTGTAGATTGTGATATGAAGTATAAGCGTAAGAACGTTATGCTGAGTCTATATAAAGGTCTTGTTAGCCCACTTACGAATTATTGCTCAGTTCTGGTCACGATGCTATTGCATACCTGACGAAGGTCACTTCGGGAAGAACTCTGAGGTCTTCAGGGGTTGCAGCGGAGATTTGACCAGAGTGGTTTTGGGTGTGAATTTGTGTAAGGTTACATTGGAAAAGCTGGTATCCTTCTCCAAGAAGCAAAGGAGATTAAGGGGAGATGTGATCATGGTGTACAAAATGAATCGGCTTCAATAAGGTAGTCAAAATTTGTTCGTGTTCTTGTTTGCTGATAATGTAAAAACTAAAGGTCATAGATTTTTTTTTGTCGAGATGCAGGGAAATGTGAAGAAGAATGCTTTTATGCAGCAAGTGATAATGCCTTGAACTTTGCAAATGCATGCAATGGAAACAATGAGGATGAAAGATTCCTCGAGAAAACTGGATGGATAGGTATTGGTGGGAAAGAATCTGTCCAGTTACAAGGGTAGATAAGGGAACCTAATTGAATGGATTGTTCTACATAGAGCTCATAGATATGAGGGGCCAATTGATGGTGTCTGCTCAAAGCCAGATCCAACCAACAGCATTGCGTTCTTTGCTGTGAGAAGGGCAAAATACCCAGCCGGAATGAGAAATTAACTCTGACACCAATCTGAACCAGACGGACCATCCAGCCAACTGGCCATGTCCATAAGAAGTCAGAATTGCTGTGTTAACATACTCTTATCATGCATATTGTAGAGCTGGAGCTGTGGATAATGGCTTCAGTTATTTTTGCCATCACATGACTGATCAGGAATTTCCCCTGCTCTTTGTACCTGCCATTGATACATTTTGGAAATATTTATCACTCAACCTGTTTGATTGTATTATGGACACTCCCTTCCTTGGCCATTAAAGCATGTAGTGGGATTTGAGCCTGAAGCTCTGGCTCAGTCAGTGATTCTACCCACCACACTGAGATGACTTCCTCCTTCCAGTGTTGCAAATTTCTCATGCCACCTCCAACATGATACAGTATTCTTCGTCTTGTATTGATTCTGGGTCTTAAAATTAAGAAAGAGTGCTGATCACAAATTAAGAAAAATAGTAAGGCACAGATGATCATGGGAAAATAGTTGAGATTTAGCCTTAACGTTAAGGTAGGGAAACCCAAATGGTGATAGGATGCATGCATTCATTCATTGTTTTATTCAGACCTAATGATGTATTTGTGTTCCGTAGCATTGACATGTTTTTTGTTATAAAACAATGTAACTCTTGAAACAAGTAGATAATGCTAGAGCAACTCAGCAGGTCAGGTCTGGAAGCATCTGTGGAGAGAGAAAGAGTTAACATTTCAAGTCTTCTTTATAACCCCAAACTTGCTAAGAACCACTAAGATGCAGATGTGTGAGGAAATGTTCCAAACACTGAGGAACAATAAATGTTAGATGCACACCAAATCCAATAAGGAATTCACAAAAAACTTATTTACTCAATGAGACGAATGTAAAATTTGCTTACTGCATAGTGAAAGCAAATGGCTTTTAAGAGGAAGCTAGTTAAGTACATCGGGGAGAAAGGGTGATGCGCTGATACAGTGTGATAATGTGAAATATGGACACCAACTAAACGTGGGTCAAAGCCTTTATCCAAGATGTAAAATTCTACAGGAAATAGTGATGTTTAGTGTGTATTATGGTAAGATATGAAACTTGTATGTTTTATGCATGTATTTTTGGGTTACGCGAAGACTATAAAAAGAAAAGCAGAAAGCCGCTTGCTGTTCTGATCACCTTTTCTGTCCTGTGCTGCAAACTTTTGTTAAAGTCCAGTGTAGGCTGTGGCACTGGTCTCAACAGTGAGTATAACCACTTCAGACTGTAAACTTTGTCCTCCATTTTGAATCTTTCTTTTTGTCTAGCGCCAGTCTTTTATCTTTTCATGTTTTGCTTTCTTGGAGTGGTCCTTTATTCTTCCATGAACACTTAGTCTAGAGTAATGGTTTTTCTTTACTGGCATCATTAGCATTTACTTTGCTTCTTGTTCCATGATGTCTTTGTCATTTAATCTGTCCTGCTTTCTAATTAGTTCCTAGTCTGCCTTGGTCAGGAAAAGCTGCAAAAACCTGTCTGATTTCTACTTCTTTGATGTTATGTTGGACTTGAAATATCAACTCTTTCTCTCTGTCTACAGGTGCTGCTTTTTGCTTTTATTTTAGTCACTTTTTGTATTTTAAGTTGTGCAACAGAAGTTTGAAGGAGGTATTATTTCTTGGCCCTGTACTACATGGTATGGAGACTCTTGGATGTAACCAGATGCTCTGTTTTGTTGGTCTTACTGCCACAGGATTGTTTTCATTTGCAGTTGCTGAAACAGTGAGCATCCTGGCTTCCTGCAAGATTAAATTTAGCAATTTTTATATGTTTGTTTTAAACTGTAGCTAAATGTGCTTGGTTTAAAAAAAAAGTCATTTTGAATGAAAGTTTGCTTTTCAGTGTATGGCCTTGTAAAGGTAACTAGTTACTGTTGAGTTGTGATGCATCTATTTGCTAACATTGTTTGATATAACTAAAATGAAAGATGATGCACCTTGTGTCCCTAACTCTCTCTGGAAGATGTTATTGGAAACTGATTTAAGGAAACCATTTTGATTGAAATCTTGTAACTACAAAGTCATTGTGCATGCACCTAATTGATGTGTATATTGTGATCTTTTGTCCTCTCCAGCATGCATATGCCCTGGAACTGCTTCATGATCAGTTATATGAGGGGGCTAAAGCACTTGATGTAGGATCTGGCAGTGGAATCCTCACTTCCTGCTTTGCTCGGATGGTAAGTGACTGACTGCTTCTTGAGGTGCCAAGTTGAAATAGGTTCTGCAGGTAATTTTTGGGCCCATTCATTTGAGTAGTCTTTCAGGACTGGGAAAATGAACAGCACTGAGGATCCGATTTGAAGAAAACTGTACTACCTTCAGGCTGCTACTATTTGTATTAAAATAACCTGTTACTGTAAAATCTGCAATATCAGCAAAGGTCTCCTACCTTCATTCGTTATCTAGTTCCACCCTAGTGGAATGAGTACCAATATTGTTTATCTGGTCCAAGCACCTGGCAGGCCCTCTGGAATGGATGGGATGCTGCTGATTCATGCCATTACAATGCCGAGTTTTTTTTGGTTTCTGTCACCAAAAGTAACATTGCTTCAGTAGAAATAGTTGATAGAATGGAGTTACTGTATACGGACTCTATGCTTTGGTATCTTGCCTGTTGCCCTACCATCTCCCACTGCACCCACCACCCCGAAATATTCATATTTCTGTTCTACAAATTTCGTCAAAAACTGTAGTGGTAAGGTTGGCGTAGGCATTAAACAGAAACTTAGAGCCATGAACAATAAAAGTACAGCTGTAATTATGAATGATTTTGATTGGCATATAGATTGGGCAATCAAATCCATAACAATTCCATAGATGAGGAATTCCTGGAATATACATAGAGTTGTTTTCTGGATCAATATGTTGAGGAACCATGTAGAGAACAGGCCATCCTAGATTGGGTATTCTATAATAATTGGCATTCTAGCTGTGCAAGATCCCTTGGGTAGCAGTGCTCATAGAATTCTCCATAGAGCATATCAGCAGACTTAATTGCAAAGGCAGTTGGATCTGAGAGCGTGGAGTGCAGTCAGTTCAGAGGGAGTTAAGTTAGAATGAGTAATGCAGAGAAATTGAGACAACCAATGTCATGTCAATGTCGAGTGCAGGTAAAAGACCAGAGGGAGGGGTCCATGTGTTGGGGGTAGGTGAAAGAATCTGGGACGGGGAGAGGACTCTTGCCCAAAGAAAATGGCGCTGAGGCAAAGGTGAAAGAAGAAGAGTTCAACATCAGTGTTTGGTTTTGGCCTCCTTATCTGAAGAAGGATATTCTGGCTCTGGAAGGATTGCAATGAATATATACTAGACTAACAAATGAGTGTGACGGGGTTGGTTAAGACTATTCACTAGAATATAAACTAATAAAGGCAATCTCATAGAAACCTATAGAATTCCAAAGAAACTAGCCTGGGTAAATGCAGGCAGGATGATCCCAACGACTGGGAGTGTAAAGCTTGGAGTCTCAGTCTAAACATATGTGTAGGCCATTTAGGACTGAGATGAGAATTTCATTTCATCCACTGGTGAGCCTGTGGAATTTTCTTGCCAGTGATTGTTTGAGACCAAAACGTTGAATCCTTTTCAGGAAGGAATAGTCTCAGGAGTCGGTCTGCTACGTATTCGTTGCACTCCTTCCACAGCCTGAACATCCCTTCATCGGATCAAAACCAAATACTCCAAGTTTGGTTACACCAAGGACCTGTACAATTGTAACAAGGCATCCCTGCTCCTGTATTCAAATCCTTTCACTATAAAGCCCATTTGCCACCTTCACTGCGTCCTTACTTTCACAATTGATTTTCCTCTTGTAAACACAACTTGACTCTTTCAAATCTTCAATAAAATGTCATGCAAACATTAGAGGGAAAGGAATATTTTGGAAATGTGCAAATATTTCTTTTTATCCAGGTCGGTCCAAGTGGAAGAGTGGTGGGAATTGAGCATATTAAGGAACTGGTAAATGACTCCATAAATAATGTTAAGAAAGATGATCCATCCTTGCTTTCATCAGGAAGAATAAAGTTTTTAGGTGAGTAAGCAGCTTTTTGTGCATATCCATGGATGATTAATCCAAAAGTGCTGCCACAAAATTGAATTTTTGTTTGCACTGTCCAACTTCTGCTTTTTTTTGGTTTTATCTGAAATAGTATGTAAAACCTGTCCTCTACAAAGCTAGAAAATCTGACTAATGGGTGCAAATAGAGGACGCTGGAAATACTTCTGTTGCAAAACTTGTTTGTTCTCTTTGGAATCATAAATATTTTAAATTTCACCTTTTTTAATAATTGTAATTGTTTGGATCCCTTTCTGTTCATAGTGGGCGATGGGAGACAGGGATATCCAGAGGAAGCTCCTTATGATGCCATCCACGTGGGGGCAGCAGCAAGCACGGTCCCACAGGCAGTAAGTCATTTTCAAACCATACTGTAAGCTACAAAAAAGTAGTACATTGCAGGATGAGATCTCTTTTTTTTTTGTTCTGTCCTCTTTTTTTTCTCCCCCATATTGGCTGAACTGAGGTTGCACTAAGTACAAAACCATCTACTCCAAAAAGAGACCATTTCTTTGAAAAATAAAAGCAAAATGCTGCGTACTGAAAATGTGAAATAGAAACAGAATGCTAGAGAAAATCAACAGGCCTGACAGCATTCATGAAGAGATTGAGTTAATGCTTCAAGCCTGATATGACTCAATATGTTTTTAGGCTGTGTTCTGCTATCGATACTACCTGCATGTGTGAAAAGTGCTTGGATTTAAGCAGACATTTTCACCTCTGCCAGAGACAGTGGTTCTTTCAGTTTGGATTCTTGGGCATCTACAAGTATCCCTTCACTAACTTGGACTGAATGTTATTAGTTTGATGGGCAGTTCCATGGTATTCCAAATCTGACCTCACCTGACGTTTCTAGAATTCATCCTTCTGTCAAAAGCTAATACTGTTGCTGTAATTGGATTTCAGAATAAGTGCAGAGGACTCGATGTCCAAAGCAATGAATCCAAGTTTTTTTTCTACTTTCTGATTCTCAAAGCTTTCAGTGCCGTAAGTAGACTCTCAATAGCAGTTAGGAAACAGTCAGTTTTGGTCTTTTAGCTTGGGCTAAATTTCCCACTTATTTTTGAGATGCATTCAAGATAATTTTTGGTTAGAAATTAAGAGCTATTGTGCAGAGATGGATTAGGTTGATCAATAAAGATGCATTTGTAACCTGATTTGAACCAAAAACATTCTTGTATTCTCTAGTGGCTAAACCAGGATAAATTCGACATGAGATGGTCTGCTGACTTGTTGGCAGTAATTTAATGTTGTGAAATTCATTTCAAGAGCCTGTGTCTGAGGAACTTGCATTGAAACCTTTGGAGTCAGCATAGCAAACTTGGCATCTTCACTTCGAATCAGATGCCGTGAACTAAATGGAAGGTTTTGCTTGCTGTAATTCCTGAGGGCTTGTGCATATGAACAAACTGTCAGCATTGTTCACATAGTGTGGGTGAACCGTAATGTAACTGCTTCAAAGTGAGACCTCTGTTTTATTTCACAGTGATAGTATCAACCATTGTTTTAAATTCAGCTGCAATTTTAGGCATCCAGTTTGCTGTTTGATGTGAGGAGGCAGGCGGGATTGTGAGAAATCAATTCATGTTATTGTAATTAGTGAGCGAGTCGAAAAACATGTTATGCACTTTGCTTGCACCTTGAAAGTTAATGCTAAGCATGCATACTAAATAAAACAAGTAAAAATAAACTTTCTTTTGTACAACACCCATTGTGCACGCAGCAAGGATCCACAAAGAGCGATGTGATGAAGCAAAGGTGATCTACTTCATACTGATTTGAAGGATGATTATTAACTAGGATACTGGAATAACTATCTTTGCATAGTGTCCTGGGATCTTTCATCTTCACCCAAGACAGTGGAAGACAGAATGCTACTGTCCTGTCTTGATAAAGTTAGCCACCTCCAATAGTGCCTTAATCCCTGAATGCTGCATTGAGTGTCAACCTAGACTTTTGTGATTGTTAGTTCAAGGTCTACTCTGGAGACAACCTCTTGACCTAGTGAGGGGTAGACCTTGAACTGACAACCTCTTGAACCAGTGAGGGATACTACTATCACAAGTGACGTTAAGCAGCTCTGCTAATGTGATGTGTATAGAAACAGTAGTCTTGGTCAGCACTGTCTTTATTTGAAATTCACCTAGACCCCCTTAGTGCTATTAAATTTTACTCATTTAATGTTCTCTTATTTCCCCCTCTCTCTCTCTCCTTGCTCGCCTCTGCCTTCCCTACCCCCCACCATGATTGTGCTCTGGCTCTCACTTGCTGCATCCTCCTTGTTATTGACCCCATCTCCCCCAAAACCATTTTTGCCCTTCTCCTCCTTCTCCAGTTGCTCGATCAGTTGAAGCCAGGTGGGAGGATGATTTTGCCCGTCGGCCCTCCGGGCGGAAACCAGATGTTGGAGCAACATGACAAGCTAGCGAATGGCAGCATCAGTATGAAACCCCTGATGGGAGTGATCTATGTGCCTTTAACAGATCAAGATAAGCAAGTGCCAAGGTGGAAGTGACTCTGCACAGTCCTCCTCAGAAACAAGGTGAAGTGGTGTGGATTGGAGCACGCTGCAATGATTTGCCTGGCTGCTACTTTTAATATTTTTGTAACTCCATTCCATCTATGGACTAATTCAGATGTTTATTGTTTACAAAAATAGTGAATGAGGGTTTGGGTTAATAAAATGAATGTTGCATGCTTTGGAAATGCTGTTTTTAAATAGTTCCAAGGAAACACTCAGCGGATGGGAAGGGACAAGGCAGGGGTAGGTTTAACATTAACCTACTATTTTGGAAGTTAGTTTTCAATTGTATATTTTGACTGTAGCAGTTCAATAATTGCTGCATAATTAAATTAAAATGTTTAACTGAAGTTTAATTGCCTGCGTAGCACATTGTTTTAGCTTCAGATTCCTGAATCGAAAGCTAATTTTCTAGCTGATGATTTGACAAATGCTGCGGGAAGGTGGCTATTTTCTACCTGCAAAATACCACCACAGGATCTGGTTAACATAGCAGGAAACCCATTGCCACGTCCCCAAACCCCTTTGATAGTTCTACTTGCCTAAGGTGGCCCACCAAGTGCTTACAATGTGTTTGACACAAAGCCAGTGACCCTCTTGCTGAAATGGACAAAGTTTGCCTGGTATGGAATACACATTCTTCAATCCCTTCCCCTCTGTCCATGCACAGGTGCACAGTCTATCCAAGTCTTAGGAACCCAGTTTAATCGACTCTCACTTGCCAGTGCAAAAGCCTTCCATTATTTGCAGTTAGAGTTGATTGAAACTGCAAACACTGTCAGTCATGGAATGGATGATCTCTTTTGAAATTGTTGTGCTGTGCTGCGCTGCACTGCACAAATTGCAGACTCTGGCTGAATTGTGATGCTCAAACTTGGAGGCAAGGGAGATGAAGAGATCGAGAAAATGCAGTACAACTAGAGAGAAAAGAAAAAAAAAATGTTGTTCTGCAGGAAAGGAGTACAGAATTGTCAGAGGTGGGTAGAGGCTGAGGTGGGGTGTGGAAACACGTATGACTATTCTGGTTATGATGCTATCACTATGCTTGCTGTTTGGTAAGAAGATCAAAGTTTTTCATCCAGTGATAATGAAGGAAGAATAATACCTGTGTAAGTTGCAATGATGAGTGTGAACTTGGTAAAAAGTGGAGGCATAAGAGAAACATAGCAACACAGAAGCTAGGACCAGGAATAGGCCATTCAACCCTGTAGCCTGCTTCTCCATTCAGTGTGATCATGGCTGATCATCAAGCTTTTTACTTTTTTTTTTTTCTTTTTTAAAAAAAAAAAATCCCTTGATCCTTTTAACCACAGGAGCTATATTTACCTCCATCTTGAAAACACATAATGTTTTGGCCTCAACTACTTTCTGTAATAGTGAATTCAACAGACTTGTCATTCTCTGGATGAATAAATTTCTCCCTCTGCCCTGAAAGATTTGCCCCTTATCCTTAATCTATGACCTTGATTCTGTATCAAATCGGTTTGGTTCTGCACGAATTTCATTGATCTGAGATTTTCTGTAAATACCATTTAATACCATGCTATCTGACTTGATCTTTCCTTCAAAGTCAATCTTGCCATCCTAGGAATAAATTTGGTAAACTTTTGCTGCACGCCCTCTATAACAAGAGCATTCTTCCTCAGACAGAGACTTTGAGAAATAGATGTAGCAGAAATGTGGAAAAGAGGAGGATCCCATAACCTAGGGAGTAGGCAGAGTGTAACCATTCCTATTTGGTGGGTGGTGGTAATGAGTGTGCCTACAGGGTAAGATATCCCCTTTCAGGTGAGTAAGAAAGATGGTAATCCTGTTCATGGTAGGGTCTTATGGAATGATGTTTTACCATTGGGCAGCCATATTTTTAATGAAAGATTGTAAAATTCTGTTATGGTATGTAGTCAGTTCAACTGCATTGGACTGAGTCTTGCATTTGAATGAAAAATCTGCAAAGACACAGCCTTTAGCCCAAAATGCAATGAATGACATGAACTGGAAAATGTGCAAAGATATTGCTGCCTACTTTTTGAGATCGCGTACGTATTATTGAAAGACTAGGAAAGGAAGCCAGACACTTTTCATTTGTTCATGAATTTGCATCATTGCCAAGTCCAGGCATTTATTGCTTATTCCTAATAGCTCACCTCTAACTGCAAGAGAAGTTGTTTTCAACAATGACTATGTTTGGTGCAGATACACTGTTAGGGTAGGTGATTTATGATTTTTGACCTAATGATGGTGAAGGAATGGTGATAGCTCTTTTAAAATCAATGAAATGCTATCAAATCAAAACCAAATTAAAGAATGGGGTTGGGAAACATATATTAGCCATGATCGAATGGTGGACAGACTGAATGAGTCATTCGGCCCAAGCTTGCTACAATATCTTAGGGCCTTAAAGGGTGCCAGTCCCCTTTTAAAGGGACATTATAACAGAAATCACAATTTAATTTGAAATACCAATTAAAACGTTTTGTGAATTAAACATTCCCACTCCTGCAGTGCTCATAGCTGTAGAAGGCCTTGTGTGCCTGTGAACCCCAGCTGGCTGCCTGGGTGTGTTTGTGACTACCTTAGCCCGGCCCTTGAGGGAGTCCTCTCATCTACTAGAGATAGTAGGAACTGCCAATGCTGGAGAATCTGAGATAACAAGGTGTAGAGCTGGATGAACACAGCAGGCCAAGCAGCATCAGAGGAGCAGGAAGGCTGACGTTTCGGGTCGAGACCCTTCTTCAGAAATGGAGGGGAAGGGAATCTGAAATAGGGAGAGAGGGGGAGGCGCATAGAAGATGGATAGAGGAGAAGATAGGTGGAGAGGAGACAGACAGGTCAAAGAGGCCGGGTTGGAGCCAGTAAAGGTGAGTGTAGGTGGGGAGTTAGGGAGGGGATAGGTCAGTCCAGGGAGGATGGACAGGTCAAGGAGGTGGGATGAGGCTAGTGGGTGGGAGGAATGGTTAGGGAGGTGGGGACGAGCTGGGCTGGTTTTGGGATGCTGTCGGGGGAGGGGAGATTTTGAAGCTTTTTCAGTCAGGGTCTGGAATTTACTGCTTGGAAGTATGGTAAAGGCAGGTTCGATTGATACATTCAAGAGAGGATTGGATAATTGTTTCAATAGAAACAATATGGAGGGTTATGGGGAAAAGGGCAGGAGAAGTTAAGATATTCAGAAAGCTATTGTAGGTAGAATGAGCTGAATGGTCTCCTGCACCAATTCTGTAATTCTGAAGATAAGTGCTTGACCTGAAACACTAAGTTGTTTCTCTCTTGCCAAGTACTGGCAGACCTAGGTAACTTCAGAGTTTTCTGTTCTAACTTCAGATTTCTAGCATCCACAATATTTGCTTTTGTAAATATGTCACTCAGGTTAGCCCTCTAAATTGCTCCATATATTTGCTTCTGCAGTAACTAATCTGTGTTGTAAATTGAATTTGTAACATGAACACATTCTTGTTTCTCTAATCATTAAACTTGTCTACAGAACTGACTTTAGACCCAATTTAGTTCTTCTGACACTTAACCAGACAGCATTCTATTTCCCTGAGATTACAACTTGTCTTTTTGTATATAGTGTCTTTAAAGTATCCCACGTTGGTTTATGGGAGTATTAATAGAACAAAACTGGCACTGAGCCGTATAAGGAGTTATCAGGGTAGAAAGCCAGAAGTCTGGCTAAACAGGTAGATGCTAAGTATCTTTAAAGGCTAAAAGTAAGGTGGAGAACTTTCCCTGGGAAATTCCAAATTTTAGAGCCTTGGTAACGAAGGGACAGCAAGCAGTGGTAGAGAAATCAATTTGACGTTGATGCCAGAAATGATAGATTTCAGGATCTAAACAAGCAAGGCTGGAGGAAGTTATAGTTACAAGTGGGGACAAGACCACAGAGGGATTTGAAAGCCAGAATGAGAATTTAAGTCCAAGTGTCTTGACTGGGAGCAAGTATAAGTCAGTGACAATAGGGGTCGTAGGTCTGACTTTGAGAGTATGGGCATGAGTTTTAGATGACCTCCAAGTTTAATAGGTTGAAAGTCAGAAGTGCAGTGTAGTTCTCTGGTCTGGGGATAACAAAGGAGAGGTGGGGTTTTCAGCAACATTTCAAACCATTACTTCAGCTGGTCTCAATGTATTATCCACTGAGATTTCTTCAACTAGTCTTGATCTAATTCTCCTCCATTAGTTAAAATTGATCTTGTTATCATGGAACAGGCTTGATAATGTTAATAACCTACTCCATTTTTTGAGCTCGATGAGATCACTGGCCAAGCTTCATTCTGTTCTTCAGATCAACTTATCCAGATTTAATCCAGCTGCAAAGAGTTTGCTAATCATATCCGGTTTCTAAAGGCCACAGGATGATAGGTGTGGAATCTGTTCAACCTGCTTGTTCAAAGGTTCTTCCTGTCTGGACCTTTTGGCATGATATGGGATCTCAGTTTCTTTGCTGAAATTTGGATTTTCAAATACTGCCCATCAGCTCAGATGATGAGAAGCAGTTAAGAGCTCATTGTTCATTGCATATCTTTGCTCTGTTTCTGTCAAGGTCTTAGATAAGCAGTAATGTATGTCAGCATTTCTTGGCAATAACATCTTGAGCATCCTTCTACTCTCTCCATCTACATGATGATAGAGGCTCGAGCTTATGATTTGGTGAAACTCGTAGATAGCAGCATATTTTCTTGAAGGCCTCATTCCCAAACTTGTCCATTATCAGATTTCCTCATCTGGGATTACATGGCTATGAAAAACACATTTAAAAACCTAAGACTGTGTGAACAGTTTTATTGTGGTGGTTGACCTTGATCAATTTGAAACTAGTCCACAACAATACAGTAAACCTTCTCTCTAAAAGCAAAGAGGTCTGCTGATGACCATTGCAATAGCCAGTCTGGGAATAATAGCTGTATTGGTGTTTGTGAATTCTGTGTGTGCAACAGGAGGAAATGCTGTGGACTTGGAGACACCCAACCACCGCACTAAGTGCTGCGCTGTGGTCCTGCACTTACACGGACACCACCTTTTAGTATCAGTATCTTTAGGACGATGTATTCTGAGCTCCCATTTGTAATGGCCAGATAATCATTGAAGACTAATAGATCATCAGCAGCTGGTGTTGATGTTTTTATAGTAACATCACTTGACTTTCAGTCAACGTAGTCAGGTTATCTTTTTTGGCAAAGTATGACTTGGGTGCATTGAGCATCTGCTTGTTGAACCATTTTGATTGTTTGAAGCTTCTTTGCAGGAAGCAAAGAGGTTCTAAGGGCACTGTTTTTGCTCTGACAAATGTCAATCATGATCTGTAATGGAATGGCCCATAGCCCTGCTCAGAGCCTCTATCACGGTTTGTGTTTTG